TAAAGAATTACATTCCTATGTGTACACGAGGCATTCCTAATTAAAAATATAGATTTATGACTAAATAATTACTGTCCAAAATAGTGTCTTTTGACTCTGTCACATCAAGAGAATGACACATGGTCTGAAATGAGAAAACATTATGTCTGAGATAAAGAGATCTAATGGTATTTCATTTAGGAAAGTTACCTAATCAGAATTTATATTCATGCAAAATAATTGTCTCTCTGCCTGCAAGGCTCATTAGATCATGGAAAATCTTAAAATGAAATGACCACAAGTTAAGTTTCCTTACAGTAAATAAACACAGGTTGAATCAGCTTCAAGTTTATTTGCTAGAATTTTTCCTAGAAAGGTGGCGCTAGTTCTCCCTGATTTGGCCATCAAACAGGAAAAAACATTGGTTTGCCAGTGGCAAATCCATGGGTTTAAAAAGAGGGGGCGGGTGGTTCTTGCAGAAAACGCTTAACCAATAGGGTTCCAATTTTATAATTGCATAAAGACATGATTGGCTTTGCAAGATCTCACAAAGAGAGGGCTGTGGCCCATGTAGCCAACAAAGAACCCTGGATCTGCTAGAGCCTGTGTTCAGCCACTTCCCACCCTTCACACCTTACAGGGGAAAACAGGGAGGGGTGGGAAGCAGCTGTATTCAGGCTAGATCTTCTAGGTAACAGCTACACTTTAGATCATCCTTGATTACACTACTGATGATTTCTGGTACTTTTGCATCTACAGGTAAACAGGTTACGCAGAACTCCAAACGATCATTTGGATTGATTGACAGAATCAATGAAGCTGTTGAAGGTTAGTGTACATAAGTACTGGATAAGTACTGGGTAAATAGTAGCAGATCCAGTGCTTTAAAAAGGGGGGTTTCAAAATGACTGCCTCACTGCAATAAAACTGGTAAGATTGGCTTTACAAAGGGGGGTTCCAATTTCATTCTTTTGAGCATAAAGAACATGATTGGCAAGATCTCACAAAAGGGGGGTTCCATGGAACAACCACCTGTGGAATTCATGGAACCACCAGTGGATTCACCACTGGTAAGCAATATTTGATTCTAATAGACCGTTTTCTCAAGGCTGCATGCGCATCTAAACTTGAAAAACCACAAAACTGAAAAACACGAATTTAGTGAAATTGAGAAGCCAGTTTTATATTTAAAGAGGAGAGTAATCAATTTTATGAATTCTTATTGAAAAGCGTTTCATAGAAATGTATGATAATTCTCATTATGAAGCTCCTGTTTTTGTATCATCGCCCATCAAGTTTCTTAAATATGGATGCGCACACAACCTTGAGAAAACAGTCTATTCTAAATCATCAAGTGCATGAACTGTAAGCTTTAATTAAGTAGTGTTAACGCATATAGAGAAAAAATAACATATGCTCTTAAGCTTAGTGGGATTCAAACCCATGTCTTTGGTGTTCTAGTTCGATCTACCTTAGTGAACTAATCTGAATTCCACAGTCATCACATAGTAAAGTTGATATTATATACCATTTTTTATTAGAAAACTGTAGATCAGTAAAAAAGCAAAAGACAGATGAAGATAAGGAGAAAGGCCAAGTGGATGACTATGATGAATGGAAGAGAAGAATTCTAGAAGAGGCAGTTAAAGCAAAAGTTTGAGGTTACTAGAAGTAATATGATCGTTACACATGATGATGAGAGGGTCTGATAAACCAAATTCACTTGGGTGTAATGTTTTTCCATTTCCAACCAAATCATTACTTAGACTATCATTTCTTTGTTAAGTGCCAGTTGTGCATGAGAAGAATATGGATGATACAACTTGAACAAAGAATTTTATTCTCAAGGGAATGACATGTGTATTGAGGTTTTTCATGTGATGTCATACTGTAGTGAAATTTGTTTGATCTTAAAAAGGAGTTGATATTTCAAAGTTGTCATACGGATATAAGTAAAACTGCAAAGTTTGATGAAGAGTGCACGTAAACTATATATGACTTTTTTTAACATGAAGTTTTACAAAGAAAGGTATGTTTCCAGGCAGAATTAGTCTGACAACATACATTTCTTCGTAAAAGTTGTAAGGTAGGTGGAAAAATTCACACATTCTCTGGATTATCAACAATCTTCACAATTATTATCAACAAACTTTATGATTTTACTAACATCATCTATATGAACAATTTCACTGTACAGTAAACTCTCTTTTCTGATTAAATGAAAAAATGAAAATTTTGGATAGAGTAGCGTCAGAGTGAAAAACCTTGATATCCGAAATATGGGAAAACATTAGGCCCAAAATGAATTTGATCCATTGACTACCACTAGTGTAGAATGACACAAGTGGATCCAAATCCTAGATTTTCATAATCAGCGGTACTATGGAACTAAAATATTGCACACTTGTTAATTGACATATTTGTGATGTCCAAATTACCAAGGTGGATTACATTTCAATTCACAAACAAGCACAACAATTGATGAGTTGCAAGCATTCCCAAGAGAGTCGAAAGACAAAATCCTAGTGGCCATATTGGTGTGAATTGAGAAATCTTTTGTTAAATGGCACCAATATGGCCATGGGGGTGTAACAACATGTTCAAAAGTAATGACTTTTGAATGAAGGGGTGCAGCTCATCAAAATCACTTGTGAAGAAAAAATTATTATCCCCTTGACCCTTGTACAGTGGTTTGGCAACCCTTTATACTTATCCAAAAATTTGATCCCCCCCCCCCCCCCACCCCCATCCTGCCAAATAATTCCTAAGAAATTGTACATTACCCTTCCCACTTCAAAAAAATCTCGACTCCCCATTTACCAAAGCCTCCTTTTTGCATTCCACTAATAATCAACCAGAATATATTGTACAAATAATATATAAAGTCAAGAGAGATATAACTGTTAACTGTTCTAAATATATCCCAATGATTCCCCCCCTTTCTCTGTGCAATAACAACTGATTGAACCCAATTAGTTTTAATAGTCTTACATTCACAGTTTTAGTGACACACCTTTTGGTGAATTTAAACTATTCAGAATATTTCATTTAAATACATTTTTAATTTCTTTTATTTTTTTATTTCTTTCATTTGACAAAGATTAATAAATGTTATTACTGAAGTTTTTGAATATTGAAATGGGATTGGATGGGAAATAAAAATTATAAATAAGAAAACACAGGGAGCCCACAGCAACAATGTTCAAAAAAATATATCATGCGTTTAATTAATTCTGTTTCAAACGTTTAAAGTGCCTATCACCCTTATGTCACAACATTAGCATATGACATGGAAAAACCTTTATAACTTCAAGATGCCGCACTCAAGCTATGAAATATTTTCGGGTTATTCCACATCTTACCCCATGTAGAATCAAAACTGTGAATATTGTCAGAAGGGTGATAGACACTTTAAAAAAATCACAAGCGTTCATATTCTAGCACGTAACAAGTGGAGTAGCCTTATAAGTTGCCTGTAGGATATAAAGACAAGAGATGAAATTCTCAGAAATTTTGGTCATATTTGCAAATCTGCAAATCAATTACCTATCGGATCAAGAAAATTTGGCTTTGCAGTAAAAATCAAGTCACAAAAGATATTCTTCAAATCTCTGTTGTGCTACCATGCATTCTCTTATAAGAGCCTTTTGCTGAACAAGAGTGCACTCGTTGGAGAAAATCTTTAATTTCTCCGGCTGCAAATAAGCTGCAACCTTCAAAAAAAAGTTTTATCGACTTTGCATGAACTTTAATGCAACATGCAAGAACATGCAAGCGGTAGACATTATATATTGTTAAAATATCTAGTACGTTTAGTAATGGTTTGGCACTTTCTGTTTCTTTTTCTTTTGATTTTGTTTAACTTGAACTTTTTGAAGATTAGTTTGAATGTGCTACCCCATGCATACTGAAGAAATGTGAGAATATAGATAAGATTGAAGTATATTTGTTTTAACTGTTTTATGGACAGATAGTGCCTTAATGTTGATATAATTCCCGTATTTCGCGATATAAGATTTTTGATGTTTCCAGAACATGGAATCATCGATCATCTCTCCTAGATATTTTATATAGCTTTTTCTTTCAGACGTTCCATCATTACTACTGATTTTTATATTGACGGAAGCGTCCTTTTTTCTTCTTCATCACTATGATGATGTTTGTTTTCGATATGTTGGCCTATACTCCAGCATAAAAATCTGACGTCCTTCTCTTCCTTCCTGCACGATAGCAACAAACTATCTAACTGCAGGGGTAGCCAGAGGGCCAAAGTGGATGAAACTTTTTATTTGCTGGTCGTAGCTTATGTACAGTCGGAAAAATTAGACTTTCTCTGACAAGAGGGCGTTGTTCAGAGAAAAGCTCTTATGAGAGAATGTATCATAAAACAACAGGGATTTAAAAATGCTCTTTCCGACTTGATTTTCACTACAAAACCGAATTTTCTTGACCGTATCCGATAAGTGATTGATTTTCACCAAGAAATTTCAAGCTCCGAGAGGGTAATTTAGTATTTTTTACATACCCCGTGATCAGGGTAGGCCTTTGTCCAGCAACATGGCTGACAAAGGCCTATACTCCACGTCAAAATCTGGCGTCATCTTCTACCTTCCTGCACGATAGCAACAAACTATCTAACTGCAGGGTTAGCCGGAGGGCCAAAGTGGATGAAACTTATGACGATGCTCCTTAGCGACCAAATGTGAGTGTTATTGATGGTGCAAGCTTATATAACTGTTACGTAGGTTGATCGATCATCCATAGATTCTAACGTTCCGATCGATCGGTCAATGGACGGTCCTCCTTTGCGACCAAATGTGAGTACCATTGATTGTGCAAGCTATAACTGTTACGTAAGTTAATCGATCATCCATCGATTCTAACGTTCCAATCGATCGGTCAATGGACGATGCTCCTTTGCGACCAAATGTGAGTATCATTGATGGTGCAAGCTTATAACTGTTACGTAAGTTGATCGATCATCCATCGATTCTAACGTTCCGATCGATCGGTCAATGGACGATCGTCCTTGGCAACCAAATGTGAGTATTATTGATGGTGCAAGCTTATATACTTATATAACTGTTACGTAGGTTGATCGATCATCCATCGATTCTAACCTTCCGATCGATTGTATATTTCCTACTCATTAACGGTGAGTATCTACCGATCAAATATCGAAAATCCTCATATTGCAAAAACTTGAAATATTTAGTTTTACTCATTGTAACTTGTTTTTATTTGAGAACTATAGTCTTCCAAGATGGTTATTATTTATATTTTATTCATCACACCAAGTGTTTTATAGTTACTTCCTGTAAACCATTCCCACAGAAACTACCCTGACATGGATATAATGCTAATAAATGATGATAATAATGATGGACCATTCATTACTAGTAGTAGGTTTTTCACATAATGTCTGCCCACGCTACAACAATTAAACAGTTACTAATATCTGAATAATATTTCTGATAAGATGCTGTCTCATTCACGAAACCAAATCCTTAAACTAAGATTTCCAGCCGTCTGGATTTCATGCGCACGCGACACTCCGTTTTTACGTGAATAGTCAAAAGGAGTAGGAAAGAGATTGTAAGGCAGTTGAAGGATTGGCAATGCCGACTGTGTAGACGATATTAATAAGAGTTTAACCAGAGATTGGACTCAACTCAATAGACCTCTTCACTATGGGAGTAATGTTTTCCCATTTCAGGCCATGTGTCGATCTCTTGAGAATTAGATTCTTCGATTTAGTTACATCCATATTATATGTGTCTTCTCGTGTGCAACCGTAAAACGAAAGAATGATACTCGAGGGAATGACACGTGGTCTGAAATGGAAAAACATTACGCCCAGTTAAGCTAAAGTGGTCTGTGCCATCCAATCCATTTGACTGCATTCGTAGATTTATCTTAATATATTGATATTGACGGGCTTTGAAAATACCTTCACTCCAGTAGTTTGAGGTTTCTATCCCATGCAGAATTATCATTGAATTTTCCTTAAAACTGAACTACTTATAATTCAACCCTTCAGTTTCAAGCTACGCCTGACCAAGGTCAACGGAACAACATCTATAAGACCAATCTACAGTATCGTCAATAAATGCCACACAGAATTATCATTGATTYTTTTAAAAACTCTGACAACCATTTATAAAGAAAACACTTAAATGTTTTAAATAAGTTCTTAACATCTAAATTACTTTTTTTAATGATATTACAGATGAAAATTTTGGCTTTCTTCTCATGATATTAGTTTGATAAGAAAAAATGAAAAAAAATATTTTCATTTGCCTTGATCCCAGCCAATCAGCTCGCGTAAAACAAAATAAAGAATATCAAAGAATAAATGATTTTCGGACCGCATTTACAAAGTGAAGAAAAACGAACTAGAAAAAAGGAATGCCGAAGGTTAAGCAAGTAGATTAATCGTGATTATAATTGCTATCATTTACAAACAACAGACAAGAGATAACTTTTCAAACATGTTTTTTTTATAACTCGAACTGTCTACATAATACATTGTGCTTCCGTAGTTTGCTCAAGTATTTTCGTTTGATAAGAGCCAGAAACGACTTTCCTGTACAAGGATGTTGAAACTGGTTGTTTTTCTTGTTCTTCTTGCTCTTGTGTCGCAGAACAACGGTAGGAAAAAGAGATACTCGGTTTCAATAGGTAAGAGGATATTCAAATTGTATTAAAACTCCTAGTAGTACTAGTATAGCTTATACGTTCAACAGTTTTTTTTCCGTGGTCGGGACTGGTTCTGGGACAAGTCAATAGATGAACCTTTAAGTCCAGTTTCCCATGGAAAGATGATAAAAGCAAATCTTTTTTTTGGAAAAGAAGAATACAGAATCCCTTGAAGCCTTCAGTACGAGTAGGCTCAGTGTTCGCTATTTTATCCAAAGTTTAAAGTTAATTTTTTTTCGTATTGGATTAAAAAATAAGAAAATGCAAACCACACTAGTCCTCTTTGTCTGGACCATTTATATAGCGGAGAGGAACAGCCATTTGAGTGTTCTTCCTCTCCTACCCTATTTTTATGGCATTTCTCGCTCCCATTTTTTTCAACCCTTTCTATCTCCACATACACACAACAGACATTGTCTTATTCAATAAGCATAATATCTAACCAGTTGTCGTAAAAGACCCTTTCAGCTTCAAATGTTTTCACGACATGTTTCATTCCCTTGAGAATAAGGTTCTTTGTTTGAGCTCTATCCATATTCATGTGTCTTGTCATGCTAAGCCGTTAAACAAAGAAATGATATTCTAGGGAATGACACATGGTCTGTAATGTGAAAACATTAGGCCCTAGCTGAAAGGGTCTACATTGTATTATAACTAGACGACATCGACCCGTACCCTTTCTGCGGGCACAGATTCTTACAACATGGTACCGAATTTGGAAATGATTTACGGAAGAGGCGATCGCTGGAACAGGGAAAGATCGAAGGAAAACGAATTGTAGGAGGAACAGAAAGCAAGCAAGGATCCTGGCCTTGGCAATTGGCTTTGTTGCTCAACGGAACTCAGTTTTGTAGTGGATCGCTCATCAGTCGAGAATGGGTGGTGACCGCTTCGCATTGCTTTCATGGTGAGTATGACCGATTATTTCTCGCTATAGACTCGGGCAATGATTGAAGTACTTCCTGTGTTAGACAGGGACAAGCGGTGAGAACATGAACACACATGACCGAGTAATCGGTTTAGCTAGTTTAGGTTCGTCCAATGATTGAAATACTCTGTCAGACGAGGACTAACGGTAATGTTCGGATTCGTTCTCCAAAGCTCTGTTTCTTTCAGTTGTAGGTTACATCATTAAGCCGACTTTGTCTTAGCGTGTTTTCTGAGACATTGGACCAGAAATATGTCGCAACTTATTAAAAGGTCTATTTCCAATCCTTAAAGACTTGAAAGTCTGCCCCATAATAAACCCAACCAAGGGCGGATCCAGCCAAAATTTGAGGGGGAGGGGGGGGTGGCTAACTGAGTTTCCTCCGTCAATACAACGGAAAACAATAAAAAAAGCATCTAATTCTTCAGTTTTGTTTTTCTTTTTCCTGCTGCCCCCCTGGATCCGCCCTTGCCAACCCTCTCTCGTTAGCTAATACGAGGGAGAAACTGGGTGCTCGGATTTTCTGCGGTCCTTGTAATGACCAGTCCATAATGTTTTTAAGAATTTTCCCGCTTTCTATCGTGTTCGAGTCTAGCTATTTTAAATCACAAAGAGGGCTCAAATCGATGATGGTGGGCACCACACTTTAAGTGGTTTTACGTAGAGAGGGTTTTGCTCTAACTTTTCATGCAATAATTTCTAGACTCATACTCCTCAACCAACCCCAAGTTTTGGACCGCAACACTGGGTGAACATAAACTTCAAGAGAAAGAGGTGTTTGAGCAGGTTAGGGGTGTTGAAAGAATTATCCTGCATCCCAATTACAAGTCCATGTTTTTAGAAAAGATCTTCGATACTCCACCAGACTATGACCTTGGTGAGTTTATTTATTGCTTTCATATATTTATATGTGTGCATGTGACATGAGTGTGCTAGGCCTCACAAATATGGGGTGTACTCAAACATGGCTGTCATGACACCATGGGTGCGGGCAACCATTCTTGAAGCAGAAGAGCAAGATGATAATTTTTAAGGTGGTCGCAATTATTCACAGTATCACAAAATAATTACACATAAAAACTAGACTGTAAATTTCTGGCATCATTTGCATCGTTGAGGTAATGCGACCATAGCTTCTTGGTTACTTGAAGTCGCCAAAAGAAACCAAATGACCTTATGTTTGGGTCGTCCTACCTGCATGCAAATAGGTTCCTTTT